GTCTTAAATTAATTTATTTCTCCTTAATTAATTGTTTTATTAGTTATGCCAATATTACATGGGGCAACACGCAAACTACAAAACTTAAAAAAATACTTAGTGTTCAAAAACATGCGTGTAGAATTATATACGGAAAAAAAAGAAGGGAGCACACTAAACCATTAATGCATGACATGAAAATGATGAATATTTATGAAATAAATATTTATCAATACTTAATTTTCATGTATAAATTTACAAATAACCTAACTCCAGTAAATTTTAATTGTAAGTTTAAAAAAAATATAAATGAAAAGTATTTCCTTAGAACAAACCAATCAAAATTCTTTAAATTGCCTAAGAAACTAAATAAGTATACAGAGTTTTCAATAGCATTTCGGGGACCAAAGATATGGAACTATTTTCAAAATAAAGAAGCTAAAAAAGATAATATGGTAAAATCATTAAACTCATTTAAGTTGCAAGCAAAAAAACACATTTTTAATTCTGAGGAATTACAAAAATTCTTTTAAGTTTTATCAAAATAGTTTTACTTTTTTATTCTTTGAAATATTAATTGTACATTTATTTTTTGTAGTTATTTTATGCATTGGTTTTTATATGTTAAACCCTTGAGTATTTAAATTTGAAGTTTTACATCATACTTTTATCTGCAGTTTATTATAACTTTTTGACGACTTTTTATTTTTCTAGGGGCTCTATGAAAAGATTGTGGTGGTATTGTATCACCCATATCTTCTTTGAGTCCCGGTCTGTTTTTTTAAATTGTCTTATTTATATATTTTATTACGTGAAAATCTTATGTAATTGATTTTATTGAACAGCAAAATATATTCAAAACTTAAAAAAAAAAAAAAAAGGTTACAGCTTACTGATTGGTCCAAAGGGTCACGCAACCCTAAAGGTCATGTGACCTATATGGACCCTTTTTTAAACCCAAATAATTAAATATATGAAGATCACAATGGAAATCAAAACGGCAGAGTCACATATAACGTTATTATATGGACCCTGCCTTTTCTTTCCTTGTCACTGGTGGACACTGCTGTTTTTTCCATTGTATACCATATTTTCTTATTCCATTTTACCATAGACTATGTCGGTTTTTTCATTTGAAACTTGGCTTAAAAGAAGCATTTTTCAATGCTTTATTACCCAAGGGCCATAACTGAAAAATTATAAAAATGTGACTGCCGTTTTTTCCATTGTGGTCTTCATTTACTTTATAATTAGTTATAAATTCTTATTTTTGGTTAGTGATATGTTATTACTTATTCTATTATTTTATTATTATAACTATTATTTTATATTAGTTTGTTCATTAATACTGCCTAATTTACGGCAAATATTAATATTATTATTACTATTATAGTTGTTGCTATTATAATTACTATTTATAATATTTTTTTGTTATTATTTTTCATTGTTATTTTCATTATTAATACTTTTTCTTTTCCTTTAAAACTTAACAACTTCAAGCTTTCTTCTAAATGTGGCAAATTTTCTTTTTCTATCTTTCTCATTAGTTTTACTATGACCTCTAATTTTCGGGGAGTATGCACTACATGTACAAAAAAAGTATAAGTTGTAGTGCAACTCAATGTGATGTATGTTTGTTTTTGGATTCATTCAAAATGTAGCAAGCTTTATGATCATGGGTACAATTTAATACATTCAAAATGCTCGACATGGCTGTGTGTCAATTGTATTAAAGTTGTTTTTCCTTGGACTGATGTATCTGATAATTAATTTAAACTACTCTTTTCTTCAAATAAATTTATTATAAATGTTGACTTGCCTTTCTCAACTTAACTCTTTCCAGCACCAGGTTTGAATAAAATCTATACTCAATAAATTTATTACATCACATGCTCCAGTTTCTGATGACAATGACAAGTTTCAGAAACAAGGTTAAAAAAAGAATCTCCTTCCACAAGTCCAATTATTATTCAAAATTATAATTTTGAGCACACACACCAACTGAATCGTTTTGTGGTGGAACCTTTTTATATTTAACCAAAAAACTGATTTATAAAATAAGAGTTGATTTCATCATATACAAACCAAACTATTTAGAATCTACTTTTGTTGAAATAATTTTGGATGTAAACAACTTAATAATTAAATGTCTGTCTTTCTCCAAAAATTAGCAACTGAAAATAAACCTGTCTTTCTACTTGGTGATTTTAAAATGGATCTGATACAGTCAAACTCTGACTTTGCAACTTCTGAGCTTTAAACTTACTTCTTATAATATTTGCCCATTTATTACGCTACCAATAAGAGTTACTGACTATTCTGCTACAATCATTGACAATATCTTTTCAAATGTAACCACTAAACAAATTGTTTCAGGTAATCTAACAACTTCTATTTCTGATCACCTACCTCAATTTCTTTTTGTCCTAATTTCAACAAATTATTTATACTACAAAATTCTAATTTATACCGCATGAACTTTAAAAATTAAGAATTATTTAAACCTGAATTGTTAAAAGTTGATTGGAATGGCATTACCAATAAAAACGATATTAACTCCAGTTTTGAAGCATTTATTTCTCAAACAACATTGTTGTTAGATTGTCATGTGCCACTCAAAAAAATTAGTATTAAGAGCTACAAGTGTCAATTCAAGCCATGGATTACTAAAGGAACAATAAAATCAATTTTAATTCAAAATCTTATTCAAGGGAAAATGTTAAGGATCCAACAAATATAGTTAAACTAAAAACTATCTTTAAGCGCTATAAATACACCAACTAATAAAAAAATACATTTCAAAAAATTCTCTTCAGAAAATGTAAACAGTCTTCGTGAAACCTGGAAAGGCATAAAAAGTCTATAAAATGTAAATAATGTACCTTCAAATTGCTTACAAGTTAATGAAACATACATAACTGAGGCAACTCAAATCTGCAAAGAATTCAACAACTTTTTCACAAATGTAGCTCATAAACTTAATTCTAAAATTCGCTCATCTTACATTAGCTATAAAAGTATCTTAAACATTCAAATCTTCATAGTTTACTGATATCTCCAACAAACCATTTTGAAATCTCATCACTTACATCTAAATTAAAACCTAGAAAATCAATAGGTCCTAACAGCATTCCCACAAACATGCTTATTGATTTTAATTCTGATTTTTCTCATATTTTCTCTAAGCTATTTAATATCTCCTTAAATGGAATTTTTCCTGACATTTTGAAATGATCTTGAGTCATTCCAGTATATAAAAATGACTCAAAATTCTTATGTACTAACTATAGACCAATTTCAATTCTATTTAACATAAGCAAGCTCCTTAAAAAACTAATGTATTCTAGATTATTCTCATTTAAACTATCTAAATGATTTTCAGTTTGGATTTCAATCAAAACACTTTTCTTGCTATGCTTTAATAAGTATAGCTGAAAAAATAAAAAAGACACTGGATACTGGTCATGTTGTTGGTTGTGTTTTTTATCAACTTACAAAAAGCATTTAATACTGTTAATCATAGCATTTTAATTTCTAAACTTGAACATTACGGAATTTGAGGAGTTGCTTATAATTGGTTTTAATTTTATCTTTCAAATTGAAAGCAGTTAGTTAGCATTAATAGTTAATGCTAACAGATTCAAATAACAAACACATAGTTTGTGGTATTCCCCAGGGTTCTGTTTTTAGCCTTTTATTGTTTTTGATTTATATTGATGATCTAAATAACTGTCCATTTCTCATCAGTCCATTTGTTTGATAATGATACTAATATCTTGCCTATTAATAAGTCTCATATTTCCTTGTGTAAGAATTTAAACTTAGATCTTAAAGGTTTAGTTTATTGGCTAAATGCAAACTTAATTTCTCTGAACTTGGAAAAAACTAAGCTATTTTTTTCATCTCAAAGACAAAAACTTTTATACAACAATCATATAACTAAAATTAATATTAATAATAGGCGTTGTTAGTAACGCCTATTATTAATATTAATAATAGGTTATATTTGGAGAATGGGATTTTTTTGACTTTGGTAATTTAAATTTTTGAGCATTTGGGAATGCGGCGTTTGACCGGGCCCCACAGGGCTATTAATGAATAAAGTTATTATTGTTATTATTATTATTTTTTTTTAATTAACTTTATTAATATTTTTATTTGGTGTTAATATTTTGATCAGGTTTCTGCATGAGTGACTCCTTCCTTGTCAATCATTTTTTTATATTTATTCTTAATAATGATATTTTGGTTTTACTATTTATAACATTAGAAATATTCTTCTTTTTATTTTTATTATTGTTATTGTTATTATTATTAATATATTATTGTAATTATATGATTGTAAATTTCGAGGAAAATAAATATCTTGTTGTTGTTGTTGTTGATGTTGATGTTTTAAAAATGAAAATAAGACCATGTTAGCTGTAGTCATTAATTAAAAATTTTTATTTATATTAATTTTTTTGGCGCATTTTATAGTTTCTGAGACCCCTCCTCAACTCTGAAGCAAATTTTTTTGGAAGGGGGAAAAAGTCTGGCAGAGGGACACTGCCGCCCAAATTTTTTTCCTACATTAGCCCCTGATTATTATATTTAGTTTTTAAGTATATTTGCAGAGCAATTAAACTTCATTTAACTACTTTTTTCACTCTAATTCTAATATTTTATTTAACTGTAAAGATTTAAACTTATACAACTTTTTTGAATTGTGATTTTACATAATTTGTATTTGCTGTTTAGATGAATTTTAATTTAAATGTACCTAAAAATATTAATTTAAAGTTATTTTTATTTTGATTGTTGTAGATAAAAAATTTTAAATTTTGTAACACTAGTAAACCATTTATTAGTTAATTTTAATATTCAAGCATATCTTGCAAAAGTATGTCATGAAAATATCTAATGCTGTTAATCTTTATGTTTTTTATTTAAATGTTTAAGATTCTAAAATTTAAAAATTTAAAAAATAAATCAAAAGATTCTGCTTTCTTTTTAAATTTGTTTTAATTTGATTGTTTTAGGTAAAAGATCCTGTATTATGTTCTAACAACCATGTTTTTTGCAAGTTTTGCTTAGATGAATGGCTAAAAAACAGCGAGATTTGTCCAGCCTGCAGAACCTCTATAAATGAAGAAAAACCATATAAAAAAATTTTAGGTAGATGTTTATAATAAATATATTTATAACTTTTTTTTTTTTATTAACATGTAGGAGTCCTAGAAAAATTATTTTTTTAAATTATTAAGTACTAAATGTAAATTATTAAGTACTAAATGTAAAGCATGCTTAAACAATATTTTACTAACAGAAAACTCGGAATACAGATTATTAGTAAAGATATGTTGAGCAAAATTTATTTAGATACATAACAGTTTTTAATACAATTTATATTAATTCTAATATAACAACAATATAATTTAATATCAATTTATAAAATGATATAAACTTGAGGTATATAATTGGATTAGCTGTGTTCGCTTTCATTATTGTCTTGGCAATTAAAAGCATAAAACAATTTCAAAAAGTTATAAAGTTATTTTTTTTAATCGGTTATAATATCATAAATTTTTAAAGTCTTGAAAATGTTAACTATTTATAAAACATTATTATATGAAATTGTTTTGTTCCCAGATAGTAAAAAAGTCTAGTATCACAATCTAGCCCTACAATAGTAACTGTTTAGCACTAATTGCTGCCAAGAACCAGCACTAGATAGTAAAGCTACTTCGTTTGCTAGAATTAAAACCTGGCCCTTTATGTTGTCTTGTTTTATAAATAACACCACTTATAAAACAAGACAATAAAATAATTATTAAAGTACAAATAATTATTTAAATTATAACATGTGCAACATGGTGGCAATCTACAAACTACAAACTTTTAAAATGAAAAATCAAAAGTCTATAATTAAAGAACATTATAGTTGAACATTGTAATATTACTTGTTCAACATTATTCACCTAGCATACCTAACAATGGATGTTTATTAATTTTGAAAAAACAAACTGTTAAATGGTTGTGTAATGATTGTTATGCAAACAATTCCCTTTAGACAATAATTTCTAACAATCGTTCATAATAATGATTAGCGATTGCGAAAAAAAAAACAAAAAAAAAACACGAAAAATGATTGCTAAAATGTTCTCCAAGAGACTAATTCCGCATGAGGAATCCTCTATTGAAAGCCATAGTGGTAAACTCAATAAAGGTTGAAATAATGACATGAGAAGACTACACACAGTTAATAATTAGTTGTAACAATTTAATAAACTAGTATTAAAGTAGTTCTCCTATTCCTATAAATAAGAATATGAAACATTACAGCTTGTATACTCAAATACACAAAACATAGTAGGTGAGGTCGGGGGAATGGTGGCCCCTTAAGGTTTTTTGCCATTTTTAGGGTTGTATTATAATGGACCGAGCTGTAACTATGGTAGAAGAATTACTACAATGTATATTATAAAATACTTTATTGGCAAATACGTACAAAAAATAATTAATGTGTTATTACAAGAAAAAAGTTAAATTAAATGGCCAGTATCACCCCATAACTTTTGGGTGATTGTGGCAGCCTGGTCAGCATTACCCCAATTCTTTTGTCAAATATGAACAATGAAAACAAGAATAATAATTATTAAAAATAAGTTTTATAAGAGTTTAAGAGAATAAGTTTATGAGTTTAAAAATTAATAAAAATAAGTAGTACAATATTACTATTAAAAACAATAGTCACAAATACAAATACCGTTTTTATGGAGATCTGTACAGTCTTTGTGGGCCCAGTCACCACATGCAGCACAGGTTACCCACCACTCTTGGTTTTTACCAAATTCCCCACAAATCAAACAAATGTCTGAAGACTTTTCTATTTTCTAGCCAAATCTCACTTAAATTACACAAATATAGAAATATCATATGTCCATAATTACCCCAGAGGCCATCAATCCCCCGACCTGCCCTATCATGAAAAAAACAGTTTTTTAAGATTTCATCAGCCTTATCAAACCTTCAAGCTTGACTTTGATTGGTATCAAAGTGATATTGATTGTCACCAAATATGCCAAGTGGACAGGATACTGATGAAATTTTAGAATTAAAAGTTAATTAGAATCTGATTGATCCAACTGAATTTGAGTAACAAATACAAGTTTTCCACTAGAAGCGCCTGTCAAAACCATTGTATAGCCATAGCTTTACTATATAAATTTCTAAGTAATATAATTATACAACTATTTGATCATTATGAAAAAAATCAACTTTTATTCTAGTCATTTAATTACAGTATAAACAAAAAATTTATGCAAAATATTTTATATAGGTTTGAGTGGAGCCATTATTATTAATTTAAATTTATTAGCTTTTTTGTGTAGATATAGCTGCAACATGTTAATATTTTTGAAGTTTTTTTTGAACCATTTTGTATTTTCATTCTCTTTTTTTAGAGTAAATTAAAAATATTAAAAACTTCAAACGGCAACTAATTTCAATGAAGAATAGTTAAGTGATCCATTGTTTGAAAAATGGCTGGAATATATAAAATATCAGCCAAGTGTAAAACGTGGCGTATTTTGCACTTTGCAGTTCTTTTAGTAGATCAATCTGATAAAAATGGGAAAAAATCTATTCTGTTTTTGTAATGAGAATGGTCTATTTATATAAAAAGTTGTCCCTGATAGCACAACAGCTAAATTCTATAAGATAGGTACAACAAAACTTGCTTATGTTACTAATTTTTTTTAATCTTGGGCTTTATTTAAACAGACTTAACAGAAAATATCAAGAAATCTCCTTTTTATATACTGTTTTGTTTGATGAAAGCCTGAATGATTCTTTTCAAAATTGTAAAATGGATCTAAATATAGGTTTTAGAGCAGCAATCTAAGTTGTATTGAACTTTGATTTTTAATTTTCAAGCCACCCTACTGCAAAAAAATTTATTTAAAAGTATGACCACATCTTTGCTAACAATTAGTAGCATAAATCTGACACAACTGTGTATGGATACCCCAAGTGTGAACTGGTTACTTCTTGATCTTATTGAAAAGCAGCATAAGCAACAAGAGCTATCAAAACTTTTTAACATTGGGATTGGCAACCTCTATGTAGTCCATGGTGTTTTTAAAACTAGTTTTCAATCTGCTAAGAAGTTAATGAAAACATGCAATCTTTTTCATAATTCTCTTGCAGAAGAATTATTAAAAAGTCATTCAATTAAGTCTCATCCTTTTTTTGTTACTGTTCCTAAGTGCTCCAAAAACTCTTATTCCTCTAGTTTTTTTTCTCAAACATCAGTTCTGTGGAATTCGCTACCTTCATCTTGCTTTCCTGATTCATATAATTTGCAATCTTTTAAATCTTCTGTCAATTGTTATCTTGCTCTAAAGTCTTCATCTTTTCTCTTCCAGTAACTTCCAACACTAATTAGTGGTTGCTTGCAGCCTTGTTGGAAGCAAAGATGCGAAAAAAAAAGTGTGAGAAACATAAAATAGAAATACAGAAAGTTGAGAAGACTTTTGTTATACTGCATAAAAAAAGAAAAGAAAGTCATAAGTGTATGTTTCTAACTTTTATTGTTTTTTATTTTTTAACATTGGAAGCATTTGACTTCATTGAGTTTTTATATGTCTTATTAGTGTTATTAGTTTTTATGTCTTTCTAGTTATTGCAAAAATGTTTTAAATGTTGCTCTTTTGAATTTTTATTCAGATTAATTTTAACAACAATTTTTAACTATGTTTAGTATTTGTTTTCATATTTCTTTTAAAGACCATTCTGCTAAGTTCAGCTGTTTTTTGAAATGGTATTTTATTGCAAGTATTTCATTATTTAATGTTAAAGTTTTAATGCTGAGTTTGGGAGTATGGATGATAAAAATATCAGGGGGAAATTAGCAAAATTTCATTGAAAAAATTAATTTTATTCCAGAATTATAGTGGCAACCCTGTTAATTAAATTGATGTTTACTTCTAATTACTTTAAAAAGAATTTAAAATTTATTTGAATGTTGTATCAGAAAAAGTTAGAATTTTATTTTTTTAATCTTTTATTTCATATTCTAGCTCAAATTAAAAAAAAACTACATATCCAAATCAAAGTTAAATTTACTACACGAAATTTAAATTTATTTTTACTTGAGTTTGAGTTTTAAAGCTTTCACGTTCACAAATTTAAAAAACATTTTGCAAGAGCAAGGTTTTAGATACATAGTATAAATCTTTTTATTAAAGACAATGTTAAATAAACATTGTAAAAAATATGTTATTTTGAATATTTTATTATTGTAAAAGTTATAAACTCATTTATGATCTATTCTATTATAAATGTATAGCCCATTGGCCATTCTATAAACAGACAATAACAGACATGTTTTTAAAACTATTCAAGTCACTTAAACTTTTTATTAAAGGTAGTCTTGAAGACTCATCTAACATCAATATGAATGACCCTTCTATCAGAACTCATATGAGGCGGACAAGAATGAAAATGATTTTTGAAGAGTTTCAGGTGTTTTTTTATTTTTATATTTTATAATTCATTTCTCAAGTATTAACTACATGTATAATATATTGCATCTATAGTCTTAATTATATTTTATAAGTTCTTGTATTTTTTGTTATTTGTTGTTGTTGTTGAAGGATAATATTTATTTAAAATCTTTTTCTGTGTTCTGATACTTTATTCCTCTAACAAAAAAAACACGGTAGGGGTGTAGTGATAGAGTGCTCGCTTCATAAGCGAGAGGTTCTGAGTTCAATCCCCACCACGTTCCTGGTAGCACCACGCTCAACTTTTATCTCCATGCAGCGGCTTTGTTTTTCAAGGTTTGTGTTTTGGAGTTATAGGGTTGAGAGAGGGTTATAACCACAATTAAGCAGTCTCATTGTTTAAAGTGGCCATCTCGGAGAGGCCTTATGGAGATAAAATAAAATTAAAAAAAAAAATTAAAAATATGGAGTTGTGCTTTAAAGTAAAAAAGTAAAACGCAAATCTTTTTTTTTTCTATGTGTTAAATTGATTGAAAAAATCTGGAGTCTTTTTTGGAACTCAGCATAACTGTTATGTTACATTCTAAAAGTAAAGTAGATTTTTGAAAAAAATGTGTTATTTTTCTACTTTACATCAATGACTTGATCATTTATTTGATTAAGGTCAGTTTTCTGGAGCCAGTACACACATGTTGTTTAATTATTATAAATACGCTTTTATTGGTTTTTATTTTTATATTATTATAATTATTATAATTTTATTTTATAATAATTAATTATTATTTTTTAGATGAATACTAGTAGATATTAACATAATTAGAAACAGCTTAAGTTAGTTAAAAATATTGAGACAAAAATTTGGTCAAAATACATTTACTTAAAAGATACAATTTTAATACAAAAGTTATAATTTGCTTAGAGTGACATGGATTGCCTTGAAGAAAGATTAGGAATTATGACAAAAGAAAATGAGACATTAAAAGAAATTAATGCAGATTTATGCAAAAGAATAAATGAAAAGGAAGAAAAATCAAACAATATATGCAAAGAAACTGAAGAAATATCCACTATTTTGAAACTATCCAGCAAACTTCAACAAATGATAATTGCTAATGAAGAGCTTTCAAGATCAAATGTTGAGCTTAAAAAGGTATTTTTTATTACTGCGCATAAATTTTTTTTTTCTTTGTAATTGAAGGAATTTCTTAGTAGTATAAACACGTTCTTTTATTTGAAAGAATATAAATAAAAAAGTTTATATAATTTTTTTACGACACTGTAAAAGTTTTCCCACAAACAACTAATAGTCACCAAAGTAACTAAAACCCACCATTTTTACTGTAGTTTTAGAACGAATTGGACGTAGAAACTCTATTATTAGTAATTGATCTGTAAGTTAGTCCATTAAACCTTTAGTTTAATGTGTTGCTATGATCTTACTTTGTTATTTTTTACATTGTGTTTAGCAGTTAAAAGGAAAGTTGCAAGAATTTTAATTATCCAAATCATTAAAAAAAGTTTAAATTAAAAAAAATTAAATAATGAATTTTGGATGTAGAAAAACATAAATATTTAAAAAATAGCCACGAAAATATTATCAACTTTAAATAAAGTAAAAAAATATTTTTTTAATTTATTTTTAATTTATTGTCTCACACTTGGTGACTTTACCTAGTGTTATTTAATTTATACTTACAAACAGCTCCAAATATTTCTAATGGATGGATCTGAGGGCAATACTATGTGTTGTGATCTTTAAGTATGATTTTAACATCATTTTCTTGGTACCAATTCAAAGTTGGTTTAGCGTAGTGAAAGATGGCTAAATTAGATTATAACATTACAGGAATATGAGTATAAAAGGCAAATGATGCTTTTTCAAGCACTTCTTGTAGAGATTAGTGTCATCTTTGAAGTTACAAATAGCTTGCATTATTTTCCAGAGCTACCAATTTGCTAAATCTTTGACATTTTTTGCCAAATTTAAACTGCTTTGTATATATGCATATTATTTATATCTATTGGTAAAAACTCCATACTTTATAACAGCATATGCATTAGAGTTAATAGATGTTATGCAAATGTATGTATTGTGAAAATATGTTTATGTTGGTGTAAAGCAAGATAGTTGTTAGCCAAAAAGTTCTATTCCAAAGACATTGATTTTTTTGTGTTGTTTGAACTAGGCTGTATAATAAAAGCTCACAGAAATATATAACGTTAATAGAAATAATTTCTGTAAAAACATTAATACAAACAAAGAAAATGAATAGATGTTCAGAATAAAGATTTAAGGAGACAAAAAAAAGTAGTTAAAACAAACTATATAAGTGCTAAAAACAGACAAAATGTATGAACCACATTATAAAATATAAATCTTCAATGTAAGTTTCAATATAACTTTTCAAGATATATCTTCAATATAAATTCAAGATAAATCTTTAATATAAATCTTCAATATAACTCTTTGATAATACAAATTCAATAAATACAATAGTAAAAAATAATTATAAGTTATTAAAGGAAAAAAAATAGTATAAATCAATTGTAAAATATAACAAAACAAATGAAATATATATATATACATTATATATGTATAATTATGAAGAAAATTCATCTTACGTATTTAACTTTTTAAACACAAATATATTTAAATAAATAGATGCTCCATACATTTGAGCATAGCTATATATCATATTATTATAAATGCAGTATCAAAAAATATTTAAAATATTTGTTGATAATATATGATAGTAATATATTTTAGCAATATATACTGTTGCAGAGCTTAAAGACATTAGACGATAATGTTGTTGTCATAAAAACAATATGAGATACAATGAAAAATATGTAACACAATAGAATAAAAAAAACAACAACAATGTTAGTGATAAGATATCAGGATCAAAGACTTAGTTAGGTTTATGAATGATAAAAAAGAGTTTCAATGTGAAAGTAAAAAACAACAAAGTTTCATGAGAAACATAAAAGAACTAGTGGAGTCATACTTCAGAGAAACCATCGCTGATTAAACATCTGTGTATGGAAATTGTTTTGATTTATGACTCCAAATGAAACAGCTCAGAGAGCTATGTTTTGTCTGATTAAACATCTGTGTATGGAAAATGTTTTGATTTATGACTCCAAATGAAACAGCTCAGAGAGCTATGTTTTTTGGAGTACTGAACCCATCCTTCATATATTGGTTTTTATTGTATTTCAAATTTCATATTTTTTGGTATAATCTAGTTTAAGATATCTTTTTTTATAGGAGTTACAAACTATAAATAGTGAAAGAGAATCAATGATGAAAGAAATAAAAAGGTTACAAGAAGACTCCAACTTCAATTCATCACCACACAAGTATTTTATATTTGTTAATCAAATAGACTTTTAAGAAAAATTTAAGTAATCCGCTTTTATTTAGCTAATCAAATGTGCTTGTAAAGCTTATATTTTAAGTCATGTTTTTAATTAACAAAAGTATGACAATGCTGAATTGATTTATAGGTACAATAAATATGCAATGGTGGCACTACAGACCAAAAATGATAACTATGAACGCGAAATTCAACAGTGGATGAAAGCACTCAAAAATGCGGATAATATTATAGAGGAGCTTACAATTGATTTGGAAAAATATAAAAATATGAAACGTATGAATGCACCTATAGGAACTGATTTACTTGCATCTCAAGAAGATTTCGGAAACGGTTTAAGGAGTTATCCCTCGTGTCTTGAACATAGTAGAGTAACAAGTCCTCAGGAAATAATTGATAATCCTCAAGTACGAGATGAAATTGGTGGCGACAACAATTCATCTTCTTCATACCTTTATCCCGCGTGTTCGAAACTTGTTGAATTAACAAAAGCACATCGCTTACAAGATAATAATTTTTCTTCTGTACGCAATTTGTTTCCAGAATCCACTCGCCGCGTAAGCCGTATAGATTTAGTTACTGATCAAAATTTTGTTACTGATCGATCGAAATCATGCAACTTAAGCAGTATTAGAATCGATGACAATCAGTCGAATATTGTTTCTGCTAGTCGTAACTCAGAATTTATTGACGCACATAGTTTTTCTTCTAAAAATTCTTTAATTTCAGATAACGATAGCTCTCCGCTCAAAAAGGTCAAAGTTGAAGGCGATACATGATTCTTATTACTTATTGTAAATATTTGAGACCACTTAAGAAATTATTTAAAATATTATATGAGATATAAATTTATGATTTATTTATTTAAATATACAATTATAATTTAATAAAGTTATTTTTTTTTAAATAAGAATTCAAAGCATGAAATCATATCTATAAGATTATTAACGCGATGGTTGCTTGATCAATGCCTACCAATTTTATTAAATGTCCATAAATTATGTGTAATTGGTCGTACTTAATTTTGAATTGTGTTCTAATTAAGATAAGTAAAGCTAAGGTGTGGGCTTCTTGTTGCAATTGCAAAGAAAAATGATTTCCTTACCTTTGCATCCCATACCCCCTATCTGATTTTTTTTATTTGCACAGCGGGCGTAGTTGTACTACACCCGTTATGCTAATAAAAACGGGTAGTAGTACACTCTCTCTTTCTGTCCAATGTTTGTTTTTAATTGATCTTGCAATTACAATATCATTTTTGTTATTTTAATTTTTCCTTGATTCTAAATGATATAAGCTTGGGGTTTTTCTTAATAACGTAATTTATACGTCTCACCAATCTGTCAGTTATTTTCTTAGGACGCTTTGTCTCTGTAATGTTGACGTTATTGAATTTCGTTAAACTAATATAATTTTTTATCACGGAATAGCATTTAACCAGTAGGCTCACACCTAGTTCCTTATAAATGATGCAAATATGGTCAGAGCCGATTTCGAACCATGAACTTCCTGTTCTGAAACCAAAACTCTAACCACTACACCATGGCTGCTTTTGTATTAAAAAGTAATTAAAACCGTTATCTTATAGTGATTTTTTTAAATATCTTTTATTATGTCTTACAGTCTTATAGCTGTATGTAAAAATTTAATTTACAACTCTAACGTTAGAACATCGCGAAAGGATAACAATTTTAATTATATTGGTTTAACCAAGGAGGTATAATAGCTAAGTCATACCTCCTTGGTTTAACGGAATACACCTTAAAGAATCGCTAGTACAAACATCAAAACTCTTTTCAATACGAAAATTATACGAATTCTAAAGAACTTTCTAAATATATCTGGAAAATCGAAAAGAAGAGTTAAAAAGTTAACAATCCTGCATTGTCGCTCGTAGCTGCGAAATATCCTTCTGGACTATTGCAAGTCAAATAAATTTCTTCTGAGTATAATTTCTCTTTATGAGTCACTGACGGACCAGAAGAACTGTTGATTTAAATTAAAAGTACAGGGGTGGAACCGCAAAATGTGAACACTTTTCTGATTGTAATAATTAATTTTCTGTTAAATATGAACTATTTTAAATAAGAATGTCCAATGGTTGGACATTCTTATTTAAAATAGTTCATATTTAACAACTCTTTAGACACTTTCTAATGAGTGAGAGAGTACAACTACATCTAACGAGAAAATAGTTATAATAAAACAAAAACGTTCACATTTTGCGGTCCCACCCCTGTACAGTACAAATATTTGTAGCAAAAGTATCAATGTTGTTGATAGAACAAATTACCTACAACCTGGACAAGATGCGACAGTGAACCCTAATAATACTAATAATACTTTAATTCAAACTGATAAAAAAACAATCACATATACTTCTTCTGTGGTGAAGCCTGTCATTAATTTGCTCGTTATGCAATAAACAGACCTTTGTTTCATGAAAGCATAACCCCTGCAGTTAGTAGAGGCTTACTTCAATATCGACCGTGTTAGCCAGGACTCAGTGATACTTTTAACGTTTTCACAAAAAATAGAGTGTTGTTTTTAAGTAAACAAGGATTCGCTTTTCGGTAACATTGAGAATTTGGTGGCAGAGGATCCCATAATGAAGGTAATTTTATCGAACTCATGAAACTTCTCGCAAAATATGGCGTGTTTGCGGCCGTGGCGCAGTGGTTAGAGCGCTTGCTTTATAAGCAGGAGATCCAGGTTCGAAACGAGCTTTGGACATATTTCATGCCACGGTAAGAAAGGAGGCGTGAACTTTCTGGTTAAATGCACTTCCGCGGTGTTCTGTGACAAGACCGTTAGGACTTCTTGAGGCACCTAAAATAACAAATTTGACAAAAAAAAAAAAAAAAAATGATCGCAACGCACATTCTCTTAGTCCGGACATTTAGAATGACCTTACGCAGCCTTTCGCATCCGAAGTTAAAGCAAAAATATGTTTAAAAGTAAAAAATCCAAAGTATTTTGTAGACGTTAGTCAAGTAGACCATTTTTCTTTGTTTTTCGATTTAGCCGGTGGAGATTTAGTTGAATGATTTGCCCATAGAACTTATTGTTGATAATATAATCCAATAGCATCGAGTAATAATAATATGAATTATAATATTAATAATCAATCGCTCAATTGGATTTGTCCTCTTATAGTATTCTTTATTTTCGAGAATATTCATAAGGATTTAGAAAAGGTAAGTATCGGGGTAAAAAATGAATATAATAGGGATAAATCATAAAAATCTAATAATGAATGATGAAAGTTAACGTTGTCCATCATCAAGGTAAACTCTTGTTCCTCCCCCAAAATATTTTTAGGTGTATTTAAGAAACTCTTAAAAATATCTGCTATCACCCCTACACCAATCATTGCTTCGCTGTGGACTATGTTTAAACAATTTAATGCTAATATTATGTTACGGCCTCTTGATGACAATACACGTTGATTTGGGGTCGTTCTTCGAGACTGTATCCGTGGTTTCTTATCATATGAAGATTGAACGGACTTTCATCAATATAAATGGTAATTTTGTAACGTTGATGCAATATCAAATTTAAATACCATGAAACATATGTTTTTCTTTTTTTATTTTATCTCTGCAGTATTGCGTCTTTCACTAATTTCATATGTACAGGGGTGGAACCGCAAAATGTGAACACTTTTCTGATTGTAATAATTAATTTTCTGTTAAATATGAACTATTTTAAATAAGAATGTCCAATGGTTGGACATTCTTATTTAAAATAGTTCATATTTAACAACTCTTTAGACACTTTCTAATGAGTGAGAGAGTACAACTACATCTAACGAGAAAATAGTTATAATAAAACAAAAACGTTCACATTTTGCGGTCCCACCCCTGTATAATTTAATTTTTTTAACCATGGCTATAATGTAGAGACTTTGACATCAATTCCCAATTCTATCATTATCTTCAGTAGATTATAGTTTCTGTTATCTCCAATTAACTCATGTAGCTTATTTCTTACTTTTACAGTACAACCTGACTATCAAAAACCACCTCTAATACCAGGATTGATATTACCTGTTGATATATATCGATGGACCAGGCGTCGTATTGAAGTCTCACTTTTACGAGTTCCTATGCTTCTTTTACACTTTTCACTTCGTTAATTATAAGATTTATGATCAAATTTACTTCAACATTAACCGCCAGATTACATGCAAAAAATAAGTAGTTAATCATTTTGCTCTTTTTCTTACTTTGATTTATTAATTTTTTTACATAAGTTCAGAACATTCGTTGCACCTTTATAGATTTGTTTTCAAAGTTTGATTTAAATATCTTTTTGTAATCATAAGATTTATAATCAAATGAACGAAAAACCTGCATAATTAGGGTATTAGCCTAGTTAATTTTAAGCAAAGTTTTTTAAAAATATTTATATTTTGTTTGTTTTGTAATTATGTTTTTGTCATTATATATCTAAAGGACATTATTAACAACAAATATTTTATGAAATATTTTTTTCAGGTATAACTTGTACCTAAATACTGTAACATTAAACAATCTTACAGTATTGATGATATAGAGATGTTATGATCTTACGCTGGTACAGCGATACAGGCGCTTTTAATAAGTTCGAATTAAATGAAGTAAACTTCGAAAATATTCGAATTATATATTGCGAATTAACAAACGAGTTTGTCTTTAAAAAAGTGTTTGGCGGTAAAAAACCAATAGTATTTTTGGCGATATTATAAAATTGCTAGCAAAAAATAATTTACCAACTTTTCTAATATCTATAAATGCAAAATAAAATTCAGTGTCAAATTAAATTAAATAATATTTTATCATTTTATCATTTACGCCAAGTGATGCGGTTTAATTGTTCAGAACTCAATTCCAATTTTTCAGAAGAATGGATGTCTAAAATTTTCGACGACTATTTCGACTAATTAATTGTAAAATACAAAAAACGAAAAAGTGTAACGGCGGTAAAAAAAGAAAAACAACGTTTAATACTTTGAAAAAAAAAACAGGTTTTATTTTAATTAAATTTTTTCAAATTAAAAAGCCAGGCGATTTATTTTTAAATAAGTTTTCGGAAATGCAAGATATTAACAATAATTAGTGTAAATTTATACATATATTTAAAAAAATTATATTTATGTTTACATATCATGTTTTTACATACATGTCATGTATATATATATATATATATATATATATATATATATATATATATATATATATATATATATATATATATATATATATATATATATATATATATATATATATTACATTTTATCATATATATTACATTTTATCATATTTAGTTAAATTTTTTGTTTGCAATTTGTTTACATTATTATTATTTTTTTTAATTCATTATTATTTATATTTATTATTATTATTATTGGGTAAAATTAGGTAATTCCAACCCATAGTTTAAAAAAGTCCATACAAACAACAATATAGAATGAAAAACATTGATTTTTTAAACAAACTTCTTTTATTTACATAAATAAACATAAACATAGTTTAAAATCTAAAATTATAACAACAACAATTGATATATATATATATATATATATATATATATATATATATATATATATATATATATATATATATATATATATATATATATATATATATATATATATATATATATATATATTTTTTTTTTTAATTCAAAAAAATGTACAAAATGAGGCAATTCCACGCTTATTGAAACGTTTTTAAAAATAGCATAGGAAATTAAAATTTGTACATTAAAACATTAAAATTAAAAAAAAAAAAAACATAAAAAAAAAAGATTTACATGTATAAACAGTCAGGAAATAATTTTCGTTTGATAAAAAAAAAAAAAAATTATGCTCTTAGCAAAAAAATAAATTAACGCGGAATACATTTTCTACAATAGAAATCCGAACTGTCAGCTTCTTCAGCTGTAAGTTAAACATTAAATTAAGTTTAATATTATTTCTTTTACTAAATACAAATATTGTTGCTTCATAATTAACATGTTGCTCAAGTTTATTAATAAGCAAAAGTTCAATTTTTTATTTTCAAAGTGTCACCAGGGGGGAGGGGCTGGATTTTCACAGAGCTATCATTTCAATTTTAATTCATTTATACAAATAAAACACTTAACTGAACCTTAATGCAGTTGTTCAATAAAATAAAAATACACATTAAACACATATAACAATAATAAATGAATTATATCAGCAAAAATATTTTATTTATTTTTCACTAAAAGTGTAAATACATTGCAGATGAATTCTGATTTCCAAAAAAAAGTATACACATTAAAAGTAACAGGAAGTTGGCAATGTATAACAGGAAGAGAATGTCTTTTTAATTTATAGCTCATTTTTATTGGTCCAAAACTCTAAGGGGCTGGAATTGCCCCAGGAGTGGAATTACCCCATCTTACCCTATATGTAATTCTTAGACGCGTTGTTATTTGTAACTTGTATTATGAATTTTAAAACACTTTAAATTTATGATTTAATTTGATTTATGAAACGTTTTTGTCAATTTTTTTTTAACTTTGTTTATGTTTACATATGTAACAGATATAATTGTAATTGTTATATCAATTATATTTTTTTAAAGGCAAAATATGAACCCACAAAATATTGGTCACGGATGGCCCAAAAATTATAACAATGATGCACTGGTACCAATGGAACGAACTGTCTACTTATATCCATTAAGTAACTACACTTTTGGTACAAAAGAAGCTTTGTATGAAAAAGATAGTTCAGTTCAAGCTCGTTTTCAAAGAATGCGTGATGAGTTTGATACTTTAGGCATGCGTCGCAATGTCGAGGGTTGTTTAATTGTCCATGAGCATGGTTTACCTCATATTTTACTTTTGCAATTAGGAACTACATTTTTTAAGCTTCCTGGAGGAGAGCTCATGGCTGGTGAAGATGAAAGCGAGGGTTTAAAGCGTTCTATGAGTGAAATGCTAGGAAAACCTGATGGGACTGATCCAATTGCATGGCAATGTGAAGATGTTTTGTCAAATTGGTGGAGACCAAATTTTGAAACTCCAATTTACCCTTATATTCCTGCTCATATTACAAAACCTAAAGAACAGAAAAGAATTTTTTTAACACAACTCCCAGAAAAAGCAACATTTAATGTTCCGAGAAATTACAAGCTAGTTGCTGCACCACTTTTTGAGCTTTTTGACAACCCACAGGGCTATGGCCCAGTGATTTCTACCTTGCCATGTTTATTGAGTAAATATAATTTCATATATATGTGAAATTATAATAGTTGAGGTTTCTTAATTGCAAACCAAGAAGCAAAATTAGGTACAACCTTTAAAGGAATATAACATTTGAGAACTTCAAGTCTAAAAGTGGAATAATTACTCAAAAATTGTATTTTATATCTTTTATTGAAAGAAGAGATTTAATATTATTTTATTAAATGTGTTTTTTATTAAAAACTTAATAAAAAAGTCATTTAAAAGACTCAAAATACGAAATGTAATGTAATTACAAAAAAAAAAATTTATTATTTATAATAACTAATTTCTTAAGATAGTTCAAAATCAAACCTGCTACTAACAGTTATAGGTGAGGGATTGAACCTGTGTGGTAATGGTATAGTTGTAAATTAAGTGTTTTACCACTACATCACAATCGCGTATAGGATTTATATATTATAATAATCCTATTGAATATTAGGATATTTACAATTAATAATTAGTGTCATAATACAGGTTGCACATTTATGCTTATTCGTTCCACTTCTAAACAACACATATGTATTTATGGTATGCATACAATAAAACAATTATTTGAGGTTTCTAAATGTTTAGTGTATTAATAAATCTAATAAACTATGGTACTTGAAGCTGTAGTGGTGTCCATTTTAAAAAAGTATATTGGAAAATATATCAAAAATTTTGATGGCAAAAATCTCTCTCTTAGTCTATGGTCAGGTAAAAATTTTATGATATTGAAATTTAAATTTATTTGTGAATTTTATAGATAACTATTTAATATACGTGTGTTTGTTTTTTGCCGAACTAATTACACATTTTTTTTTTGCAAGTGTATATATATATATATATATATATATATATATATATATCAGTTTTCTCCGTTTGAAATTTAATGCCATCGCACGAAGAAGCGCTGCAAGATGATCAATTTTTAATTAGCCTGCGTGATTTAAAAAGTTCATTTTTTTCTGCTATTTAAATTAAAATAAAAACAGCGAAAAGAATACTAGATAAAAAAAAACTAGTATAAAAAATCATTTTTCACAAAAGTTGTTCAAACGAACAAAAAACTTTTGTTGCAATTAAAAACAAAACGCATTTAATTTTTTGGCAAGCACTTTTTTATGTGCTCGGCAAAGTTTGTGTGGGCGAGCATGAAAAGGCTTGAGCGTGAAAGTGCTGGCTAAATGTAGAAGACTGATATATATTTCTACAGTTTGACATCTAAATTCTGTTTGTGTACCATTGTGGTAAAAAACAGCTAAATCTAATTGATGAAACTAATTCAATATAATTGATAAAAATAATTAAACTTTCTCCTTTTGTAAAAATAGAAAAATGCAACTTAGACTGGAATGTTTTCTAATTTTTAAATAATAAAAAAAAAAACATTCTGAGTTTATTTATCTTTATTTCTTTACTCTTTACATGAATTGACTGAAAAATAGGAGAACACTCACGCAGTATTGTTACATTGACTGACAAATAGATAAAACATGCAAGGTGTGCTATTACATTGACTTAGGATTTTGGTTTGGGCAGGCTACAAGGCACAATCTACAAGTTACAGGCTATAGGGCACAATCTAAAAATTGAATTTTTTTTTTTTAAGTTTTCAAACTTTTTCTAGTCATAAATGATTTTTATTTGAAAAAAAATATACAGTTTATATTTTATGGTGAAAATTAAATACGACTTAACCATATACATATATTTATATATATTTGTATGTTTTTTTTTTTAATTTATTTAAATGATTCAAAAAAGTTAAAAATTTTTGTTTTAAAGCTCTTATTTGCTGATTGAGTAGTAATCAAGCATAACTCCCATATTACTACTATGAAGTCCTTTATAACTACAATTTTCTTTTCAAAAAAAAAAGTTCTTTTAGAAAAAAAGTGTGTGTGTGTGTGGGGGGGGGGGGATGGGGGGAGGGGCAGCAAACACCCCACCCCCACCCATTCTGCTCTAGTCGTCGGCTCTCATTTGACACATGTATACCAATTATAATGAAATAAGTTTTTGATAAACTTTATCTAACCATTAAATTAAATGTGGAAATTAGTTAATTTTATTTAAAAAAAAAAACAAAAACTTTGTTTATTTAATTCAGAATATATTATTTTACCATTTTTGTTATTTAATTTTGTTTGTGATATAAATTTTTCTTTTCATTTTTGTTTAATTAACTGATTTATTTAGGGATTAGTGCAGCAGAGATTGCATAAATCAACAAAAACCATAAACACAAAAAACCATAGTCATTACCAAATTCTGTTAACCTATGATTCACTAATATTCTTGGCGTTTAAAGTAAATTTATTCTGTTGAGTCTTATCTCTTGCAAGGTTCACCAGACCTACTTGCTCTTTATGAGACTAATTTTAGTTCAGCTGTCTTATCTTGTGATCTCAGAATTGATGGTTATCTTCTTTTGATTCGTAAAGATTCCAATAGTCACATGCTTGGTCTAGGCATTTACATTCGTAAGAATTCACCCATTTGCCGGGAAACTAGGTTTGAATTCACAGACTATCCTTTTATGGAGCACCATTTCAGTCTATCGCTTTTCTCTTTGTTCTATATCGCTCTCCTTCATCTCAAGACTGCACTCTTCTTGATGTTATTTCTGACCATATTGACCAAGCCCTCTCTCTTTATCTATCAGCCAATATTGCTGTTATAAGTGACTTTAATGCTCATCAAACTGAATGGCTTGGCTCTAGTGTCAGTTACTCTGCAGGCATTAAGGCCCACAACTTTTGCCTTTCTCAATCCCTTACTCAAATAGTCAACTTTCTAACTTGCTTTCCAGACAACCTGAATCATTTACCTTCTCTACTTGACTTATGTCTTGTTTCTGATCCTAGTCAGTGCTCAGTTTCTCTATATTCACCCTTAGGTGCTTCTGATCACAGTTTGATCTCTCTAAAACTATTATCTCATTCTTCCTCATCATTTGTAAACATAGTTGGACCTGCTTGTAAACATAGTTGGACCTGCTCTTGCAGCCAACCTTCAACCTCTGTCACATCATCGTAGCGTTGCTTCTCTTTCTCTTTTCTACAAATACTATAATGGGCACTGCTCGAAAGAGCTAGCGTCTTTTGTGCTATCTACTAAAATTCATTTTCGTGTTACTCGTTATTCAATTAAGTCTCATCCATTTTCTGTTACTGTTCCTAAGTGCTCCAAAAACTCTTATTCGTCTAGTTTTTTTCCTCGAACATCAGTTCTTTGGAATTTGCTTCCTTCATCTTGCTTTCCTGATTCATATAATTTGCAATCTTTTAAGTCGTCTGTCAATCGTTATTACATCGTTATTAATCGTTATTAATCGTTATTACGCTCTACAATCTTCATCTTTTCTCTTCCAGTAACTTCCAACACTAATTAGTGGTTGCTTGCAGCCTTAATGGAAGCAAAGATAATTAAAAAAAAAAAAAAAAATCTGAATCCCCTTATCATTGTACCTTTTACAACTACCTTAAAGCTGACTGGGACTCTTTCCATGATTTTCTTTGTGATGGCCTTTGGGTTGAAATCCTTTGCCTTGTTGACAAATGTGCTTCTTACATAACTTTGTGGATTCAGGCTGGTATGGAATCTTTTATTCCCTCTTGAAAATTTCAGATCAAGCCTCACTCTTCTCCATGGTTTTCCTAACAGTGTGTTGCTGCAATTTGCTATGGAAAACCATTACTTCCATATCTATCAGCAAAACAATTCTTCAGAAAACAAACATCTGTTTACTATTGCTGGAAATCATTGTAAAAAGCCCGCTATTCTCAGGTCATGAAATGTATTTTATCTCAAAAATTAGGCAATCTAGAAAATCTTAAATAGTATCAATTTTAAGGGGGAAATCTTCCACTTCTTGTATGGTTCAGACTTTATCACCTCACCTAAAGACAAAGCTGAATTGTTTGCAAAGAACTTTTCATCAATATCATCTCTTAATTCCACTAGTTGCGTTCTACCTGATATAACCATCAAACAGGTTGATTCATTGCTTGACATTCATATCACTCCAACAACTGTATCTAAAGTGATTTCCTGCTTAGACTCTTTTACAGCTTGTGGCTTGGAAAACATACCTGTTATAGTCTTGCAGAAGTGTTCTCCGGAGCTGTCAACTATACTTTCAAAACTATTTAACAAGTGCTTATCACAGTCTTGTTTTCAAGCTTGCTAAAAAGCAGCATCTGCTATCCCTATTTTTACAAATTCTGGTGAGTGATCTGAATCGTTTAACTACCGTCCCATTAGTCTTCTTCCTATCATAAGCAAGGTTTTTGAATCTTTAATTAACAAACACTTAATCTCTAATCTTAAATCTAATAACTTACTTTCTGATCATCAATACGAATTTTGATCTTCTCGTTCTATGGCTGCTAACAGTAATAACCGATAGGTTTTATCGTGCATCAGATAAAGGTGGATAGGTTAAGGCCATAAAGTTTAACATGCTTCTCCATAAGCTTTCTTCTTATAACGCATCTGGTAACATCTGTAAGATTATTGAATCCTTCCTTTTCAATTGTAGTATAAAAGTTGTCCTTGATGGACAGCACTCTTCTTCATATCCTGTAACTTCAGGGGTTCCTCAAGATTCAATCCATGGCCCTATACTCTTTTAAATTTACATTAACGATCTTTCAGATATTCTCACATATAAGGTGGCATTGTTTGCTGATGATAATACCATTTATTCTTTTCATAAGAATCACTCTGATTGCTTGGAGGGGGCATTTGAGCTTGAAAAGTATCTCTTTTATGTTACAGCATGGGGCTCACAGTGGCTGGTGAACTTTAATACAGATAAAGCTCTGTTTTTTTTAGCCAATGGTTATGGCAATAATTTAGACCTCCCTATATTTATGAATGGCAATGTACTCGATGAGTCATCTACCTTTCATCTTCTAGAATTAACTCTTACTTTCGATCTTTCTTGGAAACCGTAGTCCATTGCAAAATTAGCATCTACTAAGGTTGCATCTCTTTATCGAGCTTGACACTTTCTCACTCCGGATTCTATTCTCTATCTCTATAAATCTTAAATCTGGCTTTGTATGTAATGGTGTTGCCATATCTGGTGCGATCTTCTCTTGATGCCCTTTCTCTTTTAGACAAGGTGCAAAAATGCATTGTAAACATAGTTGGACCTGCTCTTGCAGGCAACCTTCAACCATTATC